CTCCGATATGCAGATGATACCACTCTGTTGGCAGAAAGTGAGGAGGAACTGAAGAACCTCTTAATGAGAGTGAAAGAGGAGAGTGCAAAAAACGGTCTGAAACTCAGCATCAAAAAACCTAAGATCATGGCCACTGGTCCCATCACCTCCTGGGAAATAGAAGAGGAAGACATGGAGGTAGTGACAGATTTTATTTTCCTGGGCTCCATGATCACTGCAGATGGAGACAGGAGCCCCGAGATTAAAAGACGCCTTCTTAGGAAGAAAGCGATGACAAATCTTGACAGCATCTTGAAAAGCAGAGACATCACATTGCCAACAAAAGTCCGAATAGTCAAAGCTATGGTTTTTCTTGTTGTGATGTATGGAAGTGAGAGCTGGACCATAAAGAAAGCAGACCGCCGAAGAATTGATGCCTTTGAATTGTGGTGCTGGAGGAGGCTCTTGAGAGTCCCCTGCACTGCAAGGAGAAAAAAAACCTATCAGTTCTAAAGGAAATCAACCCTGAGTGCTCACTGGAAGGACAGATGCTTAAGCTGAGGCTCCAGTACTTTGGCCATCTCATGAGAAGAAAAGAGTCCTTGGAAAAAACCTTGATGTTAGGAAGGTGTGATGGCAAGAGGAGAAGGGGACGAACGAGGATGAGATGGCTGGACAGTGTCTGCGAAGCAACCAACTTGAATTTGACACAACTCCGGGAGGCAGTGGAAGATAGGAGGGCCTGGCATGCTCTGGTCCATGGGGTCACGAAGAGTCGGACACGACTAAACACACACACAAGTCACAATTAATGTAGGCCCATTTAATCAGTAGGGATTTGTCCATAGGTTCTGTTGATTTGGTGAGCCTACTCTAGTTGCAAGTTATTATGCAAAGCTATATGAATTCCGCCACTGTGTAGTTTAGATAAGCATTAAAATAGCAGGTGGCATAATAGATTGTTTTCTTGCTGCTTATTAGATTGTATCCCTAGAATTGTATTTTTCTAGATATGCAAAAGTACTGATCAAGTGAGGTGTTCAAAGATATAGAATTTCTAAATAATATTAATCCAAACCTTATTGAGGCGGCTTATTTCATATTCATAATGTATCTTTTTTGTGTTTCCCAGGGCAATTTCTTCTTTTAGTAGTCTGTTCTCTTCTTGCAGCGTTTTCTTGTCTTGCTGGAATGTAAAAACACATACATAATATTGATAAGGTACAGATGATTGCATTCTTCCCCCAGTCAGGCAGATGTGCTGAATGGTGTTTGCCTGTTTGTTGTTTCAGGCTTTGTTTTACTGCTTCAAGTAATGGTATCGAACTTCTCGGGGGGGGGGGAACCACCATCAACCTTGGGTCCTTTCTTAAGGAGAAAGGTGAGTTAAAAATATTTTAAATAAATTTAAATAAAAATAAATAAAACTGGTGGACAGCTCATCCCAGAGTCACCCTAGAGTCTGATGAAATTCTATTGATTACCTTTTTCCTTCTCTTGTGGCACATACTGGTCATACAACCAGATAATGAAACTGAGGAAATATAGTGCTTACCCTCTCCATATCTATAAATAACCACCATGAAAGCTTTGTTTTTGAAAGATGTATGTCACAGAGGTGACAATGATCATGGTTGACACGCTCAAATGGCCCCTTGGTCCACAGCCAAAGCAGAGACAACTTGTAAGAAATCATCAGGCATTGTTTTGTTGTATATTTTAAAATTGTTCCATCCTTCCATTTTAAGGCAGATTTTTTTTTAAAAAAAGGATACTTCTATTCATGATTCTAAACATTCAGTTCCAATCCCCCCTCAATGTTCTTCACCATGTTAATCTGTTGCAATTCTGCACCTACTAAATGGCTCAGCAACCCATTTAGCTTAGTTGTTTTTGTGGAGTTCCCTCATCTTGAGGACCTTTTTCGTCCTGTGGCATTGTTGATCTTCTGCAAGTCTCAGTGTTTTCCTATGTCTACTAATACAGTGGTCCCCAACCTTGGGCCTCCAGATGTTCTTGGACTCCAACTCCCAGAAGCCTCCACCACCACCTCTGCTAGCCAGGATTTCTGGGAGTTGAAGTCCAAGAACATCTGGAGGCCCAAGGTTGAAGACCACTGTACTAATGTATTTGTCAAATGTATTTTTAATATGGATGGCAACATTTTTTCTACATGCAAAATAGAAGTCAAGAGAAATGGGATACAATGTAAAAAACATGCAGTGACTTGGTGTATTTTCATCCAACATATAAACAGAGTGACATTCCACGTGCAACAAACAAAAGAAAATACAGTAAAACCAAAACCACCTCCAGACTTTGATGGAAGACCATACCTTATTTACAAGCTCTTCCCCCTTAGTCCGGACAGAATAATAAGAACTCTGTTGAGGGGAAGGGGAACATGTGTTTTAATTACAGTACATTGTCGTTGAGTGCTGTTAAGTTGCCTACAACATATTATAATGTTATAATCATAACATTATTTTATTTATACATGACTCTGAGCTGTCTTGAGCATGACTTCAATGAAAGGACAAGACACAAATATAATGAATAAATACATGCATTACTTTTACCCACAGATTCTCCTTATCACTTGGTACCAAGCCTTACAAATACAGATACCAAGTGCTGAACCTGCAGACTTTTACTGATGAATTATGGCCTCTTCCAGACAACTGAGATATGCTCCTTGATCCCCAATAGTGCATATACCATCTTAGCCTTTTCAGCTGCAGACTTCTCCCTTTTAAAACCATATTGTTTTCTCTCCACCCCGGTCATAGCCTAGGTTTCTAGATCTACAGAAGCCTTTCTGTCTTTGGCCTTTCTGCTACTAGAAGAATATTATTAGGGGACAGAACTAAACAGTGAGACTGCAAAAGCCTTCAGAAGAATGACTGTTAATGCATGATAGTCAAACATAAATAAATTCATTTGTTTTCTTTATATTTTTCTTGGTGAATAGCATAATTAGGGAAAGCTTTACTATTACAAAGCTCAGTCTTTTGAACTAAGAAAGCAATTCCTTAGGATTATACAGAATGACTTTTAATTATACAAACCAATTAAAACTAGAAACACCAGAAGTCCCCTACCATTTCTTGTTCTACCCTGTTCATATTCAGAATTTCCAATCTTTCGCACTCTTGCTGTATTTGGTCTCTCTCTCTTTCAAGTGTGCTGACAGTTTTTTGCATTGCTTCCAGTTTTGCTTTCATTTCTGTAACCTGCAACATGACACAATACAGAAGATTAATGTGTTCTCGAAGGCTTTTCACAGCCAAGATCTGATGGTTGTTGTGGGTTTTTGGGGCAGTTTGGCCATGTTCTGGAGGCTTTTTCTTTCTATTTTTTCACCAGTCTGTGCGGCCAACTTCTGTCCTCTGAAGATGCTAGCCACAGAAACTGGCAAAACATTAGGAAGAAAAATCTCCAGAGCACAGCCAAACAGACTGAAAAACCCACAACAAACATTATTTCATTTCAAAAAAATACGTATATCCCTAGATATATCTGGAAAATATAGAGAATAACATTAGTCATAAAATGTACTTTAGTTTACAGCTAGGGAATGAAGGTTGCGGCATCAAGATTTTAAAAAGAACAGATGCTCAAAAGCCTATGGTGAGCTGTCTCACTGAGAATGACAGATTTATGCATAGCTGGTATTGTGCCAATCTGTGGTGCGTGATAGGAATATCCCTAATTCAGATCTCTCCTCGAGTAAGTCACGAAATGTCTGAGGCGGACATTGTGATCAGACAGCTGCAAAGGTAGTCACCTGACTGCACCGGAAAGGGTTGTATCCGAATCCCCAAAAGTAGAAGTCATCCTACAGCTAGACCTAAAAGGCCCATCTTAGGCATGGACTGGGGTTGGGCAGGAGTGCATTTCCCTGTGTGTCGTGCAATTGCCAAGAAAGAGATTATGCGATTGCCAGGAAACAGATTGCACCAGGCAATTTCTCAAGTGATCCAAACTGTAATGTATCTCCCCATGTGATCACACCCTGAGTTAGCTAAACCATCACCTTTCGTCTTGACCATCTGTGCCACTTCTCTTAAGATAAGGTTAATGCTGGCCAACCTTGCGTGGTTGTCATGATAATTAATGAGGTACAGTATGTTAAATGCTCTGAAAACTTTGCAGGCATCCTGAGACCCACACTCCATAGGAGAAGCTAATACAGAAGATCTAGTATAGAAGGTCACCACAATGGTTTTTTATTACTCAAAAATTGGTTTAACTAAATAAAGAGAATTTTTTTAAAAAAAATGTAAAAGCACACTTGTGGTATTTAGTGCTAGGGCATTTAAAACATGGCAGAACTCTCTCCTATGCTGAAGAACAAAAGGAGAATTTCTGAATAAAGACTTTTTTAATGTTGAAATTTTTGGGAGATTTCAAGACCCCAGAGGTGCTCTGATGCCACAAAACATTCCTGTAGAGAGTACATGTATCCCTCTCCTGTTCTAACCCCATCCCACTCTCAAAAATTGGTTTAACTTAAAAAAGAGAAGTTTTTTTAAAAAAATTAAAAGCTCACTTTTGCTATGTAGTGCTAGGGCATTTAAAACATGGAAGAATTGTCTCCTATGCTGAAGAACAAAAACAGACTTTCTGAATAAAGGCTTTTTAAAAAAATGTTGAAATTTTTGTGAGACTTCAAGATCCCAGAGATGCTCTGGTGCCACAAAACACTGCTGTAGAGAGTACATGCATCCCTCTCCTGTTCTAACCCCATCCCACTAGCTGGCATCTAGATTTTCTAAGGAAAAGAACATACTACTAGAACCAACAGAAAAAAAGACAACTTTCCTTCCATGTGGCAATCTTTGCTATTAGCCCAATAAGCATCAGGCTCCAGTATGGGCTATAAATGGAATGAATGAATGAATGAATGAATGAATGAATGAATGAATGAATGAATGGATGGATGAATGAATGAATGAATGAATGAATGAATGAATGAATGAATGAATGAAATGGACGTCTCCACTGAAAATAACCATGAACTGCAAGGTTTTACCTTTTTTTCATACTGTTGTTTCATCTTCCTGAACTGTAGATCCCACTGGTTGTTGACTGCCAAAAGCTGAAATGATTATTCAATTATTTTAGGTTTGCTGGTTACTTTTAAAACCTTACAATTGTTTCAGTGCTTAATCTTTGAGCTGCCATATTATATTGGACCATAAATCTTCCCTACTTCCTAATCTGAAGAACAACCTTTATAAAAAGTCTATATTGTAAATTATAATTTATAGCAAGCTTAAGCATAGAACTAAAAATATAAATTGTTCAGTCAAAGCTACCAAATTGTTCTCCAGGAAAGGGAGGCAGGCTTTATGTTATTTGCAGAAGATATTAAGGGCAGAGAGTCTGGATCAAAGTTTGAAAACACTGGGATTAAAATTTTCAGAGTTGCAGAGGATGCATGGTTGAGAAGTTCAGAAAACTGCAATCCAATAAAGTAACATTTCCAAGCACTGCTTTTTTCCATAGGGTGAACAATTAAGAGGACCAGGAGCCATGCATGGTCATTATTCCTGGACCTTGGTACTAAACTATGGAAACCACTTGCCTGTTAGGGCTTATGGGTCTGTTTTCAATGTCTTTGTTAGGTTGTTTGTTATGCTCCTTTGCATTACGGTCTAGAAGGCTGATAAACCCATTTCTCCTTCTCTGCAGTGCAGGAAAGAAGCCAGTTAGAGAGTGGCAGATGACTCAGTGTTACTATTGTACCAGTGCATATGCTCAACACAAAACTCCCGCACAGGATTTCTAAAATGTATATATTTCCCTTTTAGCTCTTCAGTGGTCTGATCTCCCTGCACAGAGCACCAAAATCCAAATTCCTGGTGCAAGACCTCTTTCTGGCAGTTACCACCTGCCCATGGTGATGCCTATTCCTGCCAACATCATGGGTCCATCACATTCCTTACCACTCATCTTTCCCCAAGCCTGACCAATACAGTAAAATAAAAAACAAAGTGTGCACAAGTTGCACCCAAGTGACACACACACACCACAGTTAGCCGAGCCTACCCTGGCAGCAGAGCCATCAACTAAATCTGGCCATGCAGTGCCTGCCTGCCAGCCAAGTACCCACCCAGACTATCTGGGGGGAAAAGGAATTAAGAAGAATTCCAATCAGAGAAGATAACAATCCAACAAATGTGCGGATAGGCTACACCTGTCCTACCCATCTTGGCCTCTCTCTATTCTAGGACAAATCACAAAGCAACAAGAGCAGCAACAGCAACAACTGTCAGGACAAGGATTCTTAATTCTGATGCCTGAACATGTCCCTAACAATCCTACAGTATTTATGGACCTCTAGGGAAAAATCAGAAGCTTGCGTTTGTCCCAGCTGCCATTTATCCCCAAACAGATTTAATTCCAAAATGAAACCAGACTATTATTTCCAATCAGATCAAAATTCATACGAGTATTAATGTATGTCTTTCAATTGTTGCAATAATTCCAGGGAACATCAGCTTGTCTAATTCTACCAGCTTTATTTGTCTACATTGCTTTTGTATTCCATATGGACAAAATCACTTCGTAAATATTGAAAATACTGTACCTAAAAGTCTTACAGCTATGGAACAGTGTAAGTACAAATGTTTAAAAAAATATGAAGACTGAATGTAAGTTGCAGGCTAATACTTAATGGACAAAATTACTTCATAAATATTGAAAATACCCAAAAGTCTTACAGCTACGGAACAGTGTAAGTACAAATGTTTACAAAATATAAATACTGAATGTAAGTTGCAGGCTAATACTTAAGACAGAATTCAGTCCAAAAATACAATAAAATATATTTTTAAGAGTAATAAAAGAGCAATATGGAAACAACCCTTCACCACAGAAACAATTTCAACCGGAAGAATCAATGAGTATGCCTATTTAAGTAATTTAGCAGATAACAAGAACCCCAAATTATAGAAAGAAGAAAAAAGGTATACAGCAAATATAGACATGCAGTGAGATTCTAAGAAGAATATAATACTGAGCAAAATCCTCTTGGGTAAATTTACACCACAGAAGTCAGACAATAGCATCATCTGGACCAGTAAATTTAATTTAAATTATCCGGAAACTTCCCTTTTGAGTTCTTAAAGTTCCCCAGGGCTCCCATTTGCCCTGGGGAAGTCTTTGGGAATTTCAGGATGTAGGGGAAAGGAGCCTTCAATAGTCAAAAATCACTGTCATGTCACCACTATTTGGATTGGGACCATCAATTTTTGATCTGTTAAAGACTCCCACCACCCCATCCAGATTCATTTGCCTTCCACAATAAAAGCTATGCCAGTAGGATTTTGGCTTATATATCCTAATAACATAGAGAAAAGCTGAGTACCCACCACCCACACAGAGGGGGACGAGGATCAAAAGAAAAAGGAAAAACACAGAATCCTCTCCAAATCAGAAGATCAGAAATGAAAATGCAAAACAGATCAGGAAATACAGTCAAATCACTTCCTCTCAACCCTAACCTCTAGAATACAGGATTTTACTATGCCGTGCTACTTTGATGTCTCCTTACTTCAGCAGCAAGATATCCAGAACAAGCCAACAGGCAACCTATGGCAGGGGAATGTAGGGTGGAGGTGGCAGAGTAATAGGATAAATTTCCCCACAAAAAAGGGGAAATGAAAGAACCAAAAAGGACTAAATATGAAGGGATAAAATCCAATTCTAGACTGAAAGCAAGGCAGAACAGACCAAGCAGAGAAAGGAAAAAGAGGGGAAAGGATAAAAATTTAAATTAAAAAATGAATATTGTAAACCAAGATAGAGAAGAGAGACAGGTGTGACAGTTGATCCAAATCCAATTCAAAATGGAGGAAGTTGCATAGCCAAGAATCTCAGAGCACAGCTACGGTAAATCCCACAGGAAACAACCAGCACCAAAGAACAAGCATTACTGATGCCAGGATCTTTTAAAGATTTGAAATTTCCCTTCCTCTCTTCCAAAACATTCTGTTTGGCAGCTGACAATATGTTGCTAGACTCATGACACTATTTGTTCAAATAGTAAATGAGGTGACTACATATGGTGGCTGAAATGAAGATAATACAGTAAACAAAAGAAACAAGGATGAAGGTGGGGAGCTGTGTCCCTCTAATTCATAAAAATGGATTATAAGTATTTCTAAAACTCTAATTCAGAACATAATGTAAGAAACCAAAAATAAATACAAGCCCCTCTTCATTGTTGGTTTTCATTTCATCCTAACCAACCCTAATGGCTGCATAGGAGCTAATAGTTGTTCCCAGGCAATGATTCTAGACTCATCCTGTTGGATTGCATGCTCCTTCCCCTGGCGTCCATAGAAATACTGCTGTCTTAATCAACAGCCTGGCTTGCTTGTATCATTACAATGTGTAGAAGTAGCATCCATAGGTCTGCATGTGACACGAAAATATTCCTCGTGCAAAAGTCTCCCTAATCCCTACAAAAAAGTGAGGGTAATCCATGGCCCTCTAGTTGTTAAGGTCTGCATGTGACACGAAGATATTCCTCATGCAAAAGTCTCCCTTGGGATGATTCCTAATCCCTACAGAAACGTGAGGGTAATCCATGGCCCTCTAGTTGTTCAACTGCAATTCTTGTCATCCCCCACCATTGTTATGGTGGCTAAGGCTAATGGGTATTGCAGTCTAACAATATCGTCCAAAATTTGTCCACTCCTTGCTCTATAAACAAGAACATCAACTCAGCTTGAAAGTTTTTTTAAAGGGTATTTAAAATTACCTCTTGCTTCTGCTTTTCCAGTGAGATAATCTGTTGTTCCAGCATATCTGTTGCTAACTTCTTTCCCAATTTATGCTACAAAACCAAAAATTATTTCATTTGAACATAAAATATTTATTTACTTATTTGACTGTGCACACATTCACACAAAAATGAATGAATGATGTACTCAAGATAGTATAAGGTTACCAAGTGGTCACTTAAAATATAATGCAAACATGGGGTATATAATATCTGTTCCATCAAATACCTTATTAAAATAGGAGGGGGAAATGAGGTAGCCATGTTGATCCTTCATGAAAAAAAAAGAAAAGCCTCAACATCTTTATATATTTAACACCGAGGAACAGTCATTATTATGTCCCACTTCATTTGCTCCTTATTAAGGTTTTACTCTTGTTTGACGATGGTGATGATCATGAAGATGATATTTTATTAAAGTAAAATACTGGCTAAACCATAATCCACACAGTACTTAGAATTAAAACATTTCAATTTGACTTCATTCAAAGGAAGAACCCTGTAAATGAAACGTACTGAAATATCTAAATATACTGCTATATCACATGTATGAAATACAATGAAGGGATTTTTTTTCATTTGAGAAGCATAATGTGTAATACAAGACTATACTATCAACATGATTTTTAAGGCAGCACTTCTTTAATAATAATAATAAGAGACCTTTTTAGTAGGTTCCTCTCTATAGCAATGAATTACAAATACATTAATAAGGATTTAAATATGTAAAATTTAAAAATACAATAAAATGTTTGAAATAAAATTAATAAGTATATTAACACACTAATATATATATTAGTATATATATAGAAAGAAAAGACCAGTTGCCGCCGCCGCCACCCTGCCAGCACGCCCCTCTAGCAAGTAAGCTCACTTACCTCCAATTGGCTGTCTGAAGCTTTCTTGAACTCAGTGCTGGACTCCATCTGCTCAGAACAGCCTAGAAGGCTGCATTTGCCAAAGGCCTTCAAACCAGACAAAGAGAAATAAATCACAAGTATTGTGAGAGAAAATTTGTCGAATTAGCCCAGTAAGTCACAGGCACATGGAAGTTCACAGCAAATGCTTCCAACTCTTTCTGTTTGTGGAATACAGGAGGCAATGGGACTTCTATTTGAATCATTCATATAAGGGGCTTCCCGGAATGTCTCAAGCTTATAGCTGTGATTAATGTGGAAAGATAGCCACCTGTTTGATGTGGCATGTAAACTGCAGTTTCTCTATTGTCGCCCAGTTCTCCTCTGGGAAGGCAAGCTGCACAGATAAGAAAATGAGAGTAAGCTTATTCCCGAACATCACAGCCACTGAAAACCATTTCCTACTGGATTCTTCTCTCCTGCTCTTTATTTACACACACAGGGAACTTTTCTAACGGGTTGTTTAGACATACTGTATATTTACTCATGACTGGGAAATAAGTGAGTCATGCTTCCTGCTCATTGAGAATGCTTGTGAAAATAATGGGGAAGGAAATATACAGCAGAAGGGACAATCTGTACCATACAGAGTGTGAGTATCTTACAAAAGTGAGTGAGGAATTTTTCTCCCAACTACAGTGAAATACTCCTGCCTAGATGCCTAGATAGAGATTTTGCCTCTGTGATCGACAGCGAAATACTCCTGCCTAGATAGAGATTTTGCCTCTGTGATCATTATTTCCTGAATTGAACCACCTGATGTTTGCAAGAAAAGATAAGGAAGTGTGTGTCCTGAATTGAACCACTTGGTGTTTGCAAGAAAAGATAAGGAAGTGTGTGCTTGTGTATATGTTTGATCCTTGCAGAATAATTATTTGTTAATAACAGTAAGAAGAAAAACATGATAGGGATTGGTAATTTATGTATTTAGTTACATTGATAGCTGATGTTGTTCATCGATTTTGTGCCCCTCAGAACAGATATGTTTTCCAATTCTTATCCTTCAGTCACCCTATCTAGGTGATTTACCACAATAACTGAGAATTTACCTTAACCTTTGATAACAGTGAGGGCTGAACTGCATGCTCAGTTAAATATATAATGGATGATCAAGCATTTTTGTTCTTTTTTTCTTTTCTTCTTCTTTTAATTCCAGGTAAACACACAGGGGCATCATCCAGGATGGTATCATTATGACCAAGAAAGAGAAGTTTAATCTTCTCCTATCCCTACCATTTTTTACTTTAATAAACTGAATTCCAGCGCAGAAGCTTAAAAAAAGGAAAATTAAGCCCTCCACTGGTGACAGTGACTTTTTCTCTTGATTTAAACTGAACAGGCAAATGCAGGGAAGGAACACGGCAATGGACAGAAGGTTTAAAAACCATCCCTTTCTATGTGCAGATGTGCTGGACCAGATCCCCATGTACTTACAGTGATGCTTAGTTATATGCATCTTGTGCAATTAATCTAGCATGCAAATTAACCTTGAGAAACAAATCAAAATTGTTCCTCTGAAAACCTACAGGAATGATTGGGATTTGAATAACCACATGAGCGAATGCAGTGCAATTATTGTGCACTACTCCTTAGATGAAATCTGACTGCACTATTAACTATTTAAAATGTGCTCTTAAAATAAAGAATATCCTGGAAGATAGAAACAACATTCAAAAAGATCTTGATAGGCTCAAACACTGGGCTGAAAACAACAGAAATGAAATTCAACAGGGAGAAATGCAAAATTCTTAACTTAGAGGATAAAACCAAATGCACAGTTACAGGATGGGGAATACGTGGTTCAGTGACACTATATGTGAGAAAAATCTTGGAATTGTTGTCGATTGCAAGTGGAATAAGAGCCAACAGTGTAATCTGCCTATTAAAAATACAAATACTATTTTAGGATGCATGAACAGAAGTATAGTTTCCAAATCCTGTGAAGTACTAGTTTCCCTCTATTCAACACTAGTTAGGCCTCATCTTGAGTATTCATCTAGTTCTGGAAACTTACTGCACTTTTTAAAGGATTCAGACAAACTGGAACAAAATCACAGGCACTGAAAATAGGACAATCAGGGCACTGAAAACCAAGCTTTATGAGGAAAGATTCGAAGAATTTAGCATATTTAGCCTTGAGAAAAGAAGACTGAGGGGAGACATGGCAGCACTTTTCAAATATTTGAAAGATTGTCATACAGAGTAGGGGCAGGATCTGTTCTTGATCATCCCAGAGTACAGGCCATATAATAATGGGCTCAAGTTACAGGAAGCCATATTTCAGTTGAATATCAGGAAAAACGTCCTGTTAAACCAGTACAACAATGGACCCAATTACCTTGGAAGGTGGTGAGCACTCCAACATTGTAGGCATTCAAGAGAAAATTGGACAGCCATCTATCAGATGTATTGATTTGGATTCCTGCAATAAGCAGGAGGTTGGACTTGATGGCTTTATGTATAGGCATCTTCCAACTCCATTATTCTATGATGGCTTTGCGTATAGGCATCTTCCAACTCCATTATTCTATGATTCTATGAAAATATATACAGTGGACCCTCGACTTACAGATGGCTCGACTTACAGACTTTCAAGTTACAGACTTCTCTGGCTGCAAAATTTGGATTCGACTTGCAGCCGGAGAATCGACTTACAGACCAGAAAAAAACCAAAATGGAACAAAAATAGAATAAAAACTGCCAGTTATGGGATTAATCGGTTTTCAATGCATTGTAGTTCAATGGAGATTCGACCTACAGACTTTTCAACTTGCAGCCACTGCTCCAATACGGATTAATTCCGTAAATAGAGGGTCCACTGTACAGTAGAAAGAAAAACAGCTCTTCTGTGAGCATGATCAGCGTTGAGGGGTAACTCCCAATGGAACTGTCCCAAGGGGACAGCCCACTCCCAATTTGCAACCTGATGAAGATACCTAGAAAGAAAAATAGCTCTTCTGTGAGCATGATCAGTGTTGAGGGGTAACTCCCAACGGAACTGTCCCAAGGGGACAGCCCACTCCCAATTTGCAACCTGATGAAGATACCTAATGAAGATACCACTCCTGACTTCATTTTTTAAAATGCAACACATTTTTTTCTTTTCGCCATTATTCTCTCATCTCTCATGGTGTGTTTTTTGTTTTTTGTTTTTTGTATGTGGCTGACTGTCTTCTCTCAGTTCCACCTGCGCTCCTAAATTTGGATTCGACTTGCAGCCGGAGAATCGACTTACAGACCAGAAAAAAACCAAAATGGAACAAAAATAGAATAAAAACTGCCAGTTATGGGATTAATCTGCTCCTAAATGCATAACTACTTCAGTGATCATAAGCATATATGGGCTGCAACCCAATATGTACAAATTGTACAAATCTATGCCATGTATTTTTTTCCAAGTGATAAGCTCCAAGCAGTTAAAATTTTTGCCATGCTAATCTTAACTTGTTGCCAATTTCCAATTCATCCACCCCCAAAAGTTACCTGTTTTGTCTGATCTTACTGTTTACCTTTCCCATCATTTAGAACTAATTAGTACAAGCTGACCTAGGCCACCATTTTGTTCACAGAACCAGATGCCCAGGAGAACCCACAAGCACAACACAGTGTCAGTGCCTTTTTCTTTTTGTTACTACTCAAGTATGCTTAATGAACAGGAAATTGAAAAGACAGAATATAGATAAAGAAAGCTGTGGTGATGCTTGCCTTATATGTGAGACTAAGCATGGAAATCCCCTATGTGAATGTGGTGGAGTGCAAAGTATATATATAGTTATTCACACTTAACATTTTTCACATTGCTGAAAGTGGGTGGATTTACAGAAGCCACAAGTCAGTATCGGGTGCAAGAGGCTTAAAGCCACACTGAATTCATTGAAGAGTGATGCAGTGGATTATGCTTCTGGTCTCATCTTCTTTTGCAAAAGATGGCTATAAATGTATTTGAGGAATCCAGACCATATCTGCCTTTATCTTCTTCTGCAAGAATATGTAGAACTATGCAGCCAAATGAAATGGTGTTCTTGCATGACAAAGAGCAATAACTATTTGAAAATGTCATTTCCAGCCTAGTAAAATCATATAATTAGACCTTTCACCTCTGCAAGTGGTGAAACCTACTAGAGGTTGAAATATTACTTTTAAAAAGGAACTTTTTGTTTCATTACTTATTGTTTTGCTCAGGCCAGTGAGGCATTATTATTATCATTGCTCAAGTCTAGGAAAGTAACTTTGTCACATGGATACATAACCATTAGTATTACCGTTGCCCATTGAAAATGCAAGAAAGTGTTCTCTGGTTCCCCCAAGAAAATCCCCCAAGCACTCTCCAGATATTTACACATGGCATATTAATAAGATGAGCAAATTAATAATTTATTTACAGTCATGGCACTTAAAATCTGCTGATTTGAGGTGAGGAAGGAATGCCTACTTCTGTTCACTAGCAAATTTCAGCATCATATTTTACACAAATTTTACACAGAAAATTAATTAAGAATGTAATGGGTGGTTTTAAAATTGGATTGGTGGAAAATGTATGAACCAACTAAATGTACTTCACAAAGCAACTTTATGTGCCTGTTCTCCATCCTCCCTAGTCCACCCAGAAGTAAATCCGATTGAATTCAGCAAGACTATGAATTACACTCCTGGCATGCATGGTAGAATTAATTATAACCTTAAATACTCTCTGCCCCTTCTATATGTATGTTTAGGAGTTAACAAGTTGGCATGCTATCTTTTTGTGATCTGCTCTGCAGTACATTGTGATATTTCCCTCCTTATTTCTAAATTTACAAAGTAATTTTTCAGTCAAGTCAAATTAATATTCAGGGTACTCAGGTACAGTATATGCTCAGCAATTTTTAACTGGGGAGTGACATGAAATAGAAGCCTCCATGTAGTGTAATATATGTGGGGAAAATGTCAGTGAATGACCCATTTGCAGAGTGAATGGACATCCCCACCCTCTCCGACTAAATTCACATGAAACACAAACAGCCACATCAAAGTGTTCAATGAATGTATGTTAGAATTTATGTTTCCTTTCAAGATTTCTTTCTGAAGCCTACATTATGTTCCAAACAGAACCCACAGTTTTCAGAGGCTTTTGGGATGTGAGCCCAAGTTTTTCCTTCTCTCCTTTCGTCTCTGCATTTCGACTCTGCCTTTCATTATCATTTTTGTGCCGCATCCATTCCTTCTATTTCTAGCATCTGCAACTCTTTTACTCTCTACTGTAATAACTCCATCCCCAATAATCTTTACTCCCTTTTCTCAAGTGGAATCTGCATTTTTATGACTGACTCTGCCTTGCATTCTAAAGCGATGCTGAATTCAGGGAAACCAGAGCTGAACGCAACTAGCTACTGAAAATTCCCTATGCTATTTGGGAGCAGAGAAACTTCAAGGATTATACCAACAATTTTTTCAGAAGTAGAAGTGATCAGAATTATTTTTATGCTACAATGGCTCCCGATCTTGGGCTCCAAGATGTTCTTGGACTTCAATGCCCAAAAGCCTTCACCACTGGGTATGCTGGCAAGGGCTTCTGGGAGTTGCAGTCCAAGAATATCTGGGGACCAAGGTTGGAAACCACCAAACTACAATATCCTGGAGGAGGTAGGATCCTGCTAGAAAGAAATGTTTGACATAACATCCTGAACAAACTTGATATTGTTCCATTTTGGAAGCTAAACAGAGTCAGGTCTGCTTAGTACTTGGATAGCAGACTACTAGTGAATGCCAAGGACCCCTGAGTAGGTTAAGAAAGGATCTAGCTTGAAATATTGGAGAACATTTGCCAGTGTAAGTTGACAGTAATGGTTAGATGCAACAATACTGCTTCCTAAACAGTAGGGACTAATTGAAATGAATTCTGCAAGAAGAGGAGAAAAAAGAAGGAAAACTCAAAAAATTTTGTCAGGAAAAAAAGTCTTCTAAGAAATTCAGAAGGCTTCTTAACCTGACTTAAAGCAGTGATGACCCAATTGTGGTTCACAAATCACATCTAATTTTCTGAAGGGAGAAGCAATCAGTAAGGCTAAAACCAACATACTACTGAGCTTCTGTTTCACTTTTAATCTGTTCAGCTCCAAATTCAGCCAAACAACATCTAGAATCTTTCATTCTGACTCCATGATTAATTAGAGCTTTATTTACATAGTATGGGCAAGATCCAGTCATGCATTTCAGAATCGAAATGTAGATGAAATTAAGACTCTCTTCTCCTCCTGCTCTAGCCATTCATGGTGCCAAAAAAACCTCTGCTCCATGGGGTTATCTAACCATTTTGTAGGCACACAAGACCCTCATATGATGGAGGCACTGAATTCAGCAGAAGCACAGCATTGGGTCCTCACATGTGGACACACAACAGCCAGAAGAAACCTTGACCTAGTATGTCAGGAGTCAAGCATCACATGGACATAAACATTCTCTTTTATTGGAGGCCACATGGTCATATATCCTTTGCTCGTGGACCAGTGGGCATATTTATTGAGAGATTCTCTGTGTTTTGATCCAAAGGGTAACATTTCCTATCTCTGCTTGTGGCCTTCTTAGGGAAGAAAATTTCAGCTGTCAAGTATCTTTTGCTAAGGATGAAAAATTATATTCAGTCCTTTAGCTGACATGGAGAGACTGAAATAAGGATGATGAAGATCACTGTATTTCAAGAAATGACTTTACTAGCCCAAAACACTGTAATGAAAAAATTATTGCAGATGCAGTTGCTGGTGCATGAAGCAGATGTTCACAGTCCTGTTAGGCTCTCACAGAGAATCATAGTCATGTGGTATCTTTTAAGTCTAGTTTTATTTTTGCCTATAAAGATCTCCTGGTTTGTATAAAAGAGGTGGGGGGAAGGAAGAAAAGGGAATTTGTTTACACATACATCTGAAAAACAATATTTCAAGAGCCTTTAGGTTATAAGATGTTAGTTTACAAGACATCATTTGAATTCTCTGATTTAGAAACCATAAACATTCTCAAAAGGCATGCAGACCCACCATGCTCCCCAATGGGTTTTTGGAGAAGACACATGTTCTACATGGCCTGAGAAGAAACACTCAAAATATGCAGCAAATAATATTCACCTGTCTCCATATGTTTCTCCCAACTATTTTTGTCTTAGTTGTGCATTATAAGACATAAACTTAGTTCAGTGTAATTTTTTCCCATCAAAAACTTTAATTTACGTTTTCCTATAATATCTGAAGAGTGCAAGAAATGTTCATTTTTAACTAGTTCATTCTTTTATTGCATTTTACCTTCTTCCCAAACATAAACATATATGTATTATGAAAAGAGATTGGAAAAGTTACTTTTTTAGACTAGAAATTCCAAAGCTGGGTCTGGGTTCTGAAAGCTGTTGTCTCAAAGTAACTTTTCCAGTCTCTGATTATAAATAATCTCATTTCTCTTTAGCTTTGTGTTGTGTTTCCTCTCTCTTATTCTATGCTTCTAACAGATTTCAATGGAAAATATCTGAAAGTCTCCACGTTCGGTTCCAGCTTTCTGCAGACTCCCCACGAGAGACTTATAGACTCTCTGCAGACTCCCCACAAGAGACTTATAGTCTATTGCATAGAACTGGCAAGGAATATATTTGAAGTCTCAGAAAATTTTGCATACTTTCTTATATTAACTCAATTCTTTCTCCTGAAAATCCCCCTGTTAACTTTAATGAATTCAATATTCAGAAATAAATATTTTCTGAAATTTTTTTAGCAAGTGAGCATGTACATTAAGAAGCTTAAAGTTTCAGGCATATATTTGTTTAAAGTATATAAGAAATGGATGAGTATATATTTCAAAATCTACAGTGTTCTTATACAAAACTTCAGCTCATGTATATAGGCAGTATTCGGTCTAAAATGAATAACTGTGTATAGCTTAAAAACCTAAACTTTATATTCAAAGGACACAATGCTTAAAGATACATTCTTAATGTCTAAAAAAGAGAAATACACAAACTCTCATACAAGTCACTTTAAATTGTTACTTAAAATCTATTTTGTGAAAGTATTTTCAAATATAAAACATGGCATAAGAGCATTAGGCATTCTAAATAAATCATAACTTATTGCGTAATTCGTACCCACTCCTGACAGAGATTCCCCCCCCCACTCAGTGAAAACAGAACATGTGTCTTTCTCAGTGCCAAAAAAGAGTGTAATCCCCCTGATTTTAGATACCACATCCTAGGCATAGTTAAAACAAAATCTTCAGCAAAGCCTGGACTTCTCAGCTTCAGAGAAAATCTGAAGTTGAAGGTTGCAGAATCCAGTAACATCAGATTTTACTGAGTCCAGGCCCTTGCCTTCTAAAAATCTGTCAATCTCAAGGTCTGGGCTAAAATTCCCCCTCCCTTGAGGAATACTGACCAGTATAATGCAATATACTGTGAATACATACTACAGAATATACAGTATACAGTTTTATATCCTCTTTTTTTAATAAAATTGCTTCCCTCTATAAAACATGTTATTTTCACCCACCATACCTTTTATTAGAATTTAACATTCCTTTTTAAAACATCTCCATGGACTGAATGCATAGAGCTTCTACTAGGATTTAAAGGCAATATATTTCTGATTGCCAGTGTAACAAGCAACCAACCAGCTCACAATAAACTACTGCCTAGTCAGAATAGCACAGTGAATACTCTTTAATCCAAAAAGAACTCTGAGCCATATTTGTATCTTCCCTTCTTGAAACTCTAACACAGAACGAAATGAAAGGCATAGCACAGATATTTCATATCTCAAGAACAAAGGTGCTGTAATTAACAGCCCTCCTCAAGCCCTAGTTTCCTTTATTGACTTAATCCATCTAATGTTTAGTTCTTCCTCTGTTTCTACTGCTTCCTACTTTTCCCACCATAATTGTCTTTTTCCATGAGTCTTGCCTTCTCATGATATTCCAAAAGTACAGTAGTCTCTTGTCCTAAGTACAAGTTGTGCATTAGGGCAACCAAATGTTATGATATGCCCTTTTCTCTTAGAATTATCCATAGCTTTTCATGATTCACATAGTCAAAGACTTGGCTGTAATCTACAAAGCACAAACTCAAATCCTTTGGTACACTCCAATAGCCAACATATATTACAATATGATTTTTGGTGTCTCTTCCTTTTCCAAATTGAATTTGAACATCTGGTATTTCTCCTTCTATATTCTATTCTTTCTCATAAAATCTTGAGTGTGCTAATTCTATAGTGAGCTCCAGTCTTTGGTGACTCCTGTCTTTCAAATTGAAACATATAATATATTGAATATCATATAACAGAGTGAATATATAATACTATATTGAATCTGTAGGCCACTGTTTTGTTTTCTGTGCTTGTTGGCATATTCTTGTTAGGATTTTGATAAATTCAATGCAGTTGCTTTCCTTCCCCCACCCCAAGAAAAACCGCCATTGTGACTGTCTCTTGAAGTGATGAAGAGGGGCAAGTCATTTCATGCAAGCATTTTTCCTAAAATCAGGGAGCTACTGCAAATCTGTTAGAACAAGAGGGCATTGGAGCATTTGTTCCATCAGTTAAGAAATAATGGAAGTTTGTATAAAACCACAGATGGCAAGTACAACTGATATTAAACAGCTTGTAAAGAATGACTAAGTGAAAATATGTTTGCTTACATTCAGTATACAAGAACTGCTCTCTGTCTTCTTACAGGATTTTGAGGCACTGTTCTTCCCAATCAGAATCCTGATTTCATCATCAAGCTCTCTGCTGTCACATCTAGTTGGGGAAAAGGGGGAAAAAGCCTTATATTCTAAACCATGTGTGTTGATTTTAGAAATACCACTCTTTGCTAATAACTGAAAGGTCAAGATCCAATAGTGTACTTTAGTATCCAAGGAACTTCCTTTCCCAGCTGTTGTAGTGCAGCATGATGACAATAAAAAATAAAAAAAAGAAGAAAGAAAAACAGAAAATAAAATAAAAAGAAAACCAAACTGCAAGGATGTATAGAAGGGAAGGAGGTTGTCAGTCTTGGAGGAAACAAAGAATCTGTCCACACCGAGCATTTGTTCAACTTCCCCTGCACTCATAATACTGATAGTAAAGCTCAGGCCCCATACTATGCAGGGCTAGAACTAGCATCACCAAAGTTTTTTACATCACTGAGCTGTTGTGTATTTTTGTTCTTCTTTGCTTTAATTTGTTCCAGTGTGGGATCTGCTTGTGTAGACCTCAATATCAAGTTATTTGTCTGTCTGTCTGTCTGTTCATTCATTCATTCATTCATTCATTCATTCATTCATTCATTCATTCATTCATTCATTCGCCTATTGCCTTTCCTCCAAAAACGTTCCAAATTGATTTACAGCATTAAAAAGAAACCATATTAAAAGCTAAAAGAGTAAATCACTACACCACAGTATTTAAAAATATTGATGCATGCAGATTTGTGTATTTTGTGGGTATATGTCATTTGCTGATGTTTCTTGTGGCAATTTGTTTGTTTGCTTGTTTGCTGGTCTTTCTTTACCCCCAGTGAATGAGTTGAACATGGAAGAAAGAGGAGAGAGTGAAGTTGGCAGGGAGAAGATGTACAAGACAGACAAAAATTGGGGGTCACCAGAAGGACCCAAGGTGGCATACATCACTAAAACAGTATTTAAAAGCTAAAACAGTAAGTATAAAAATATTCAAAAAAAGAATTAAACAAGTATTATATTATATTATATATCTGTTTTGAGAGTGATCTGTCAGGGAGCTATTTGTGATGTAAGTGTACAGGAAGTACCACAATGAGAGTTCCTTATAAAATTAAAGATATGACCCTTAGCAGATATATGTAAAATTAAGTATGGACGTACTAGCATAAATGTACAAGTATGAATGCAAAAAAAAAAATTCACTGAATACACTGAATTTTTACTGAATACCTGTGGGATTTGTAAGCAAGTTGGATAAGAATGCAAAATTGTTTTAGTGCTGGAGAGAAGCACTTAACTCTTCCAATTCTGAATCTTTGGGCATTTGCAAATATGCACAGCAGCTTTCCAGGTGCATGGGAATCAGCTTCCCATTATGCAAAGTAATTTGCTATAAAGTGATTGTTAGGGAGACAACTAGGCTTGTATACCTGGTGTTGGGAAATTCATTCCCTCAGGGTAATATGATAAATCTTCACCCAGAAGCAACAGACCGGAAACATCGGCATTATGAATTAAAAGAGGGAATTTAGAAAACAAACAGGTTTTAACCTGTTCCCAATTTTTTTTAAAAAAAGTGCTCAGAAAGTTCATAATTACCACACCAAATTTGAATCAAGCCAAAGCAAAGGTTTCTGTCATTACTAATTTCCTTCTTTTGAAATATAGGTCTAACCATTATGATCTAAAAGCAAGTGATGTAACCTTCAGAAAACTTTGAAATCATTAAATTTCCTTCTGTTTATCAGACATATTTAGAAAGTAATGTCCTGATCTATACACCTGAGGTGGGCAACCTGAGGCACAGTTGTAGCACTTATATCAGCACATTGAATTGCTAGATACAGGTCCTTTGGCCTGTGATAGACAGCTAATAATAATCATCATGTGCCAAGAAGTCAGTTCTGACTTATGGCAACCCTTTTCAGGGCTTTCCCTGGTAGAGAGTATTCAGAAGTGGTTTACCTTTCCCTTCTTCTAGGGCTGCCCTGGTGACTACAAACAGCCTGGCTCTACTCGCAGGTAGCACAAGTAGGGAATTCAACTCCCAAACTCTGGCTCTGGAGCTAGATACCTAAACCACGGAGCTACCTAGCCAGGGCCCTCCACAGTTTTTTTCACCTATAACCCACCATACCAAACCCGGTGGTGAGGGATTATGGAAGTTGCAGTCCAAAAGCATTTAGAGAGCCACAATTTCCCACCCCGTCATAGATCAAGCAAGCACTGCTCTGGCACTCTTTTACTAGAGATACAAATCCTCACTTATTATTCTCATGCATAAAAATGGCATAGATCAAATTTTTCTCCTCATCTCTGAAGCATTTTTTTTCTGGTGAGCATTCTAGTATTTGCAGGAAAGTATTTTGTAACATTGCAAAGCTGGACAAAACTGACTTTTAATAATGAGACACCGTTGGATGGTTCATTTACATCCTTTGGTTTAATCAGCCCAATAGTCCTATTGTGCTTGCCATGTGGATTCACTCTGAAAATGTCTGCATTTTCAAAACCAGGAAAGACACTTTTCATAAACTGCAGAAACATCAGTGACTCCCAGCTACTTTTTTGCTGGATGTGAAAAATCTCATGGGGCCCAGTGATGTCTCAACAGCCTTTCGCAATTTGTTCAGAGAGTCTGTCTCAGCAGAATGAACATTTTCAAGCAAACTTGTCATATCACCTTCCTGCAGTCTGCTCGTGAGGGTTAAAAGCATGATGATGGTGATGGAGGGAACCTCCACAGAAACAATATTCCATTGGTTTATAATTGAATGTATCATATATAAGGTTTAAGTGACAGAAATGCAGCTGGCCATTTCAAAGTCTTACTACTGGCTTGCTGTTATTTATTTATTTATTTATTTATTTATTTATTTATTTATTTATTTATTTATTTATTTATTTATTTATTTATTTATACATACATACATACATACATACATACATACATACATACATACATACATACATACATACATACATACCCCACCCATTTAGTGAACATACCACTACTCTGGGTGGCTTACAAAATATTATTAAAACCATATAAAATATATAAAAAATATTAAAAGAAAACAAACAAACCCTGCAGCCCCCATTAAATCACCCGTTATTGTTGCTATATTACAGAGCAAATGAATTACTCTGCAATGTGATCTGCCAGATATGACCATGTTAGTTTCTCCATGTGGGGCTTAAAGTTAATCTCCTTAAAAAAAACAAAATGGCGACAGATACAGCCCCACCTTTCCTCCAGCTCCATTTACATTTCTGGGTTGGTTGGTTGGTTTAATTTGATAAATTTAAATACAGATTCTGCTCCAGGTTTTGTTGTTAGCAAATAGTCATAGTTAATAAATGGCGGCCACAGATAGAGTTAATAAATGGCGGCCACAGATAGAGATACATTTATCAACATTCACACCCTAAAGGTGTATCTAATCAGTACAACAGAAGGGAATCCAGATGTGCAAGTGCCTCATCTGGATTCCCTTGCCTCAAAAGCATCTGCAGAAGACTGCTTGCATCTGAGATACGCAGTATGCAACCAATAGGGTGCAGGTAGCTCCCCGCAAAAGGACTGAAACACTATCCCTCAGCACCCCACACCCATTAGTTTTTAGCACATAAAGACCTCTTGTAACCTTTAGAGGAGAGGAGGGCAATTTTGCCATCCTTTGAGGGTCCTCCAGCAAACTCATACCAGGCCTGCATATGCTAAATTTTAAAAATTGTTATAAATTTGGCCCCTAGAAAGCACAGTGAGGGTGTTTTTTCAGATTTCACACACACACACACACACACAAACCACTTGTATAAGAAAAAAAAATCAAGGGCTGGGTGTCTTGGGAGCAGCCCTCCAAAGTTCAGGGATGACTGTGGGCAGCATCCAAGTTCTCAGGGAGAGACCGCCCCTGGTTTTCCTGAATAAATCTAATTTGGTGGACTGGAACAATAAGGTTACAGCATTACTGGCTATGTCTACTGGGGTATTCTTCTTGTAATCCAAAAATGTAACTTTTCCAAGTTCTGGTTTTAGGTATGGTCAAACCTTATGCCTCAAGTTGATAACCGTTAATAATTTCACTGGCCCAACTAGTAAAACCACATTCTGGCAATCAACCATTTACAGGGTCTGAAAAGCAGAGTGGGACCAAAGCGATTGTTCCATCAACAGTGATTGTTGTACACCTGAAAGTTTGAGTAAACTGACTCGCGCAGCGCCACACAGTAAAATTCAGAAAAGAGAGAAAATTTCAGCTTGGGCACCTTGCAGCCAATATTCTATTTATTGTCTTCAATATACGCTGGCAGTAGTGTTCCTGTCATCATGAATGCTATCTGTATGGTGAAAAATAAGTAACTCACTCTCAAAGATAGTATTATTCCCCTTTTTGAAAAAAAATTATCATGACTAATTAAATTGTCTGCTTGGAACACTGTTAAAACCACCAGCAACAGCAACTTACAAGTTTGAACTTCAGAGACATGTGTTTTTAAGTTCCTAGAGGGTATTTCTTTTATAGCACCCTTTTAAATTCATTAATTAGGATTTTTGCGTGGCATTAAGCATGCATCAGGAGTACAATCATCACCCCTTCTGTCTCATCTCTGTCCTAGCAAGAGCATGTGGTTTGACTTCAGACAGTTTGTCAGCATGCCGTAATACACAGAATATATTCCTGCTGAACAATATAATTTACTGTACTGAATTAAGTGAGCTTGGTGACATTTGGAAGCACTTAAAGGCTAAGATATGGAAGCAGCCACTTAACTGAGCATGAACTTTAGCGCACATTACTTACAGAATGGGTGAGGATAATTGGTGGACGGCACCTTAATACTAAACACATGTTCTTGTAAGTGAGCCCTGCTGATTGGAAAGCTTGAAGAGGGGCATATGGAAGCTGGTGTGTGGTCATGCATCTAAGAGTAGTCACAGAAATGTGTCTGCTTTCACACTTTTGCCTCAGCCTTTGCAGTATAACAGACTAAGAGCCCAGAATCTTTGAGTTTAAATCCTCACTATTACGCTCATTGGATGCCCTTTAGCTGCTCCCTCTGTCTCAGGGT